CGCTCATTTAATAAACGGCCCACGGGTCTCTACCCTCAAAACCAGTGTCGACCACATTTTTGCGACGCAAGTCGTGTCAGTCTGTGACTTACGTCGATAGAATTATTTATTATTTAAATATAACTAGAGTAATATAAATAAATATTTGTACAGCTTTACGGTGGAAAATTGTATAATAATTTTCATGAAATATTTTTATTTCATTTTAAAATTTAATTCCACTAAAATTCTCAAAAAAGATTTTTTATTCCAAAAAATTGTAATTAATTGAACAAAAAGTAAAAAAAAGTCAATGATTTCTTAATCATTATTAAAAAATTCATATAAATTCTAAGAAAATCCTACTTAAAATACTTCTAGCTTCAAAGTGAAGCTGAAAAAGTATAAACGATGCATCATTATATCATTAATTGTATCTAGCTTAAGACTTGAATCTCAAAATTGAAATAATTTCCCTCATTTCCTGTTAAAACAGAAAATCCCCAAATAATTATAATTTTTAAAATTGGTAAATTTAAACAAATTTAAAAATTTTTTAAATTAAAACTAACAGATGTTACTTAGATGGTGGTCTGATTCTCTGATTACTCCGATTCGGTCTGTCATGCTCAGACGCGATTACTCTCTTTTAAAGTTTATCAGCATACTCAATACAAATTAGCCAAATTGAGACATTGTTTTTCCTATCGAACTACACGCAAAAAGTGATTCGCCACGTCTACATTATAATTTTATAAGGACAAGGAACGTCTATTAATGTCAGAGATTTATTGGAAATGTCAAGGTAGGAACCTAAAAATTTTACCAATGATACATAAGGTTTAGAATAAAATTTTATAAGTACTACATTAAGTAGTCACAAAGAAAAATAAAGTGATCATCAACAATAAAAAAAAACCAGCACAGGGGGGTCGCGGCACAGTCGTGACGTGGCATACTTGGATCAAGTAAAATGATATCTGACAGTGATTAAAATCACTATCAAAAAAAAAAAGCTTCGATGCAAATCTTTAGATAGTGTTTAATTTTAAAAAATTGGTGTATTATTCCAAAAGCTACATGAACTGCTAGTTCCTTATTAATATCCTGATTAAGATAAAGTATGTCGAATGAAAAAGAGATTATTTAAAAATGTTATTTCTCATAAAAAATTGTATTGATCCATACATTTTTTAAAAAGTTATAGCCTTTTAAAGTAAAAAATGTAAAATATAAAATCGAGAAATTTCACACAAAAATATCATTTGTTAGCCATATTCACCACGAAGACAAGTCCAGAGGTCAAATTTTTTTTTTTCATAATAAAGTACATTACATTAGCTTTAATTTAAGATATATATAAAAGTGTCAGACCTTCTGGAACATTTTCAAAAGTTAAGTTGAAAAAGTTAATGCTTTGTGAAAAAGTTGTCATTTTTAATCTCCACTATAGGCAATTAAAAGGATTAGATATATAAAAAAAATTTACTAAATGATAGGTAAAGACATCAAGCATCTATAAAAAAAAATTAATATTGATATGTTTATTTTTGAAAAAGTTACGGTAGTTTT